ATACAAATTTAAAACTAGCATTAAATTTAGGAATTAAAATTGAAAACAATGCATAGAATATTAAAATTTAAACAATCTTGTTGGTTAAAAAAATATGTTGACATGAAAACGAACTTAAGAAAGGCTAGTAAAAATGAATTTGAAAAAAACTTTAACAAACAAATAAATAATGCAATTTTTGGTAAAACAATAGAAAACTACGAAAATATAAAGATATAATATTAGTAACAAAATAGTCTGGAAGATATGGAGCCAATTCTTATATATCTCCGCCAAATTTTCACAGTTGCACTGTTTTTTATGATAGTATGGTAATCATCGAGATGAATAGGTTAAATATAAAATTTAATAAACCGATTTATGTTGTATTTTCGATACTTGACATTTCAAAACCTGTATTATAGGCCTTTTATTTCAATCATATTAATAAGAAATTTTCTCATTCGGCTAAACTACTTTACACTGATACAGACTCACTTATTTACCAATTCTTTGTAGACGACATTTACCAACACATAAAGAGCGACCTGCACAAATTCGATACATCAGACTATCCTCAAAACAATATATACCACATACCTTTTAACAAATTAAAAAATGCTTGGTTTAATGAAAGATGAAAATAATGGTAAAATTTTTGACGAACTTATCGGTCTCAGATCGAAAATCTATGGTATAAAACTTTTTTGTACTAAAACAGAAATTAATGAAGTAATTAAAAAAGATAAATAAATAGCGTAGTATCAAAGGCTAAAGGAATAACAAAAGCACCACTTAAGGAAATTACATTCGATGATTATTTTAAATGTCTGTTTCACAACAAATTAGTAGAGATTAATCAAATCGTAATTATTTCAAAGAAACCTAATGTATACTCAGTTTAACAACGTACACTTGCACTCAGTCCGTATGATTATAAACTAATAGTTAACACATTAATAACGGATACGTATTCGTGGGGATATAATTTCAGATAATTTTTAGACCGCTAAGTATAAAGCATAATTTATATAAAAAGAAAATAACCATATATTTATGTATAATTATAAATCTAATATGTTTTAAAACAAGTGTATTGTTTGCTTGAATATAGGTACCTTCTTATATTTATTGTAAGGTTTGTTGTATGTTTTAGAATACGTAAAAACTAAGTGTAAATGTAAATTTATTTAAATAAATACATATGCATATATGTAACTGTAATTGTATAAAATAAATTATCTCTATTCCTGTTTTATGTCAATGAACAAGGCCCACTAATCATGTTTGTAAAAGGAGATCCAATATTAGACGAAAGCAATAATTTAGTTACAATTAGAATAGAATTATTTTCCTCCAACCGCTGTAACGCGGAAGCCAAATACAGCGCATTCATTCGTGAACTTTTAGCAATATATCGCAGAATCAAGCATTTCCGTCATTTTCTTGAAGCCCGTGATTTCCCATGTAGGAACTCCCAGTCTTGAACGACGGGGCCTAGCTTGGACTAACTCTGGGCAACCGAGCTTCGGCTCTTCAACGCCGGCCCAGGCCTGGGTCGACCTAATGGAACTTTTTTTTATGTTCGCCCAAGCTTGGGCCAGCCCGTGAGCAGCCGAACCTCGGCTATTCGATGTTAATCCAAGCTTGAGTCAGCGACGAACAACCAAACCTTGGCTATTCGATGTTAGTCTGAGCTTCAACCAACCACGAACAACCAAACCTTGGCTATTTGATGTTGGTCCAAGCTTGGATCAGTCCTTGAGCAGCCAAGCTTCAGCTGTTTGATGTTAGTCCAAGCTTGGGCCAGCCACGAACAATCAAACCTCGGTTATGGAAAAAAATGATTATAAATAAAATCAAGATTGGAAGCTATCATTATTTTTATTATCATTATTATTAATTTTAAAATTTTTTAATTTTCTCTCCTAAAAAATATCAAATGTAGTTGACATTTTCGCCACCAGTTGCGGTGCTGAAGTACCGAACTTCTCTAGCGGTTCGAGGTCGATCGACCTCTGTTTTTTATATAATGAGTGTACGTCTTTTTTGCTTCGTTCGATTGTGCGTGATTTAATAACTATTTAATTGTTCTCGGAATTCCCTCATTTACGGTGCTAGCTTTATTAAATGATAAAAAATTTGTCTTGACAATTGTCTATAGTAACTTGAATTATTACTTGTACATTGGTGAATTTTGAATAGTTTACAATTATGTCATCGTCTTACTATCGAGTAAAAAAATGGCGTGCATTAAGAAAACAAAATCAAAATCAATGTGAACAAAGTACTTCAGGTGAACCCAGCATAATTTCCAATGACCCTAACATTGACAACAGTGTGTTAGAAAATAATAATCCAAGTGATGAATTATTAAGTGTTCCGGAAGTGGATATTAACCTTACTGATAGTGAATCTGTTAACAGTGCTGCAAGCAATCATGAACCTTTAATTAACTCTTTAAGTGATTTATCATTTCAGCAAAGTGATGACACTTTTGAAGATGTTGTGCCAAACAGAAGTTTGAGTGAAAAACTACGTCATTGGGCTTTAGACAACATAAACACCTTAACTTTGAATGTAGTGACTGAATTACTAACTGTGCTTAGAGAAGAAGGACATGAAGATTTACCCAAGACTGCTCAGCAATTATTAGGGACAAAACATCGTCAACCTTTGGAAACTATGTTAAGCAAACGAGACACAACTGGCCATTATTTATACATTGGAATAAAAAAAAGTCTTGAAAAAATTATCCTTCCAAATAATTACTCAGAAAATACAATCACCGTTCAACTTCACATCGATGGAATTTCAATATATAATAATTCACCAATACAAGTATGGCCTATTGTTCTAAAAGTGCATCATAAAAATTATGAAAGTAAGCCAGTCGTTATTGCGCTGTATTGTGGTGATTCGAAACCTTCTTCTGCTGATGATTATTTGAAAGATTTAGTTGTAGAATGTAATGAATATATTTTGAATGGAATAACATTAAATGAAGTTAATTATTTGTTCAAAATTATGTGTACAATTGCAGATGCACCTGCAAGAGCATTTATTAAATGTTGTAAATCTCCAGGTGGCTTCTTCGCATGTGAAAGATGTTCCACTGAAGGAATTACTAAAAATCGAAAGCGCATATACCCTCAAATTGATTGTAATCTCCGAACCAAAGACTCTTTTATAGACAAACATCAATTGGAACATCATCTAGAGAATGTTCAGTCTCCACTATGCAGGTTGGAAAATTTTAATCCAGTAAATGATGTAGTACTGGATTCTATGCATTTGCTGTACCTTGGTGCTATGAAAAATCTATTGGAAAAATTACTTGTAGTGAAAAAACATCCAGCTCGATTGAAAGGTGATAAAGTGAGGATTTTAAAAAGAATTATGGAATCAGTGTCATCTGATATTCCCAGTGAATTTGAAAGAAAAATTTATGACATTGATCAGGTCTCCAAATGGAAGGCCACGCAGTTTCGATTTTTTTTATTATACATAGGATTTTTGGCTTTTAGAGATGTTTTGTCTCCAAATAAATACAAACATTTTTTGTTACTATATGTAGCATGCAGAATGTTAAATGATTCTGATAATGCTGTACGTCATGTCGATTATGCACAAGATCCGTTAAGAAAATTTTTTGAATTATTGCCATCTGAATATGGAGATGATTCACAAGTATTAAGCATGCATAACTTAATTCACGTGGCAGACGATGTTCGTCATAATAGAGTTTCTTTAAGTGAAATATCTGCTTTTTGGGGAGAAAATTATATAAGCTTGTTTAAACATTTAGTGAAATCTCCAAAAAAGCCGCTTACTCAGATCGCAAATCGACTAAGTGAATTAGAATGTAGTGATAAATTGAAAATAAAAAAAAATCTACGTTGTGTACATGTAAATATATACTGCCAATGTGTTTATTTGTAGACAATCACCAAAAATATTTTAAAGTTCAAGAAGTGGAATTACAAGGATTTAATCTAACTTGCAAGCATCCTAATAATGTAATACAATTAAACGACGGCAAAATTTTTATGATTGATAGTATATTAAATATTAGTGAAAATTGTGCAGTTCAAGAAAATATCAACAATCTATATATTTACGGGACTATAGAAAATAGAAAAAAAGAAGTCTTCGATTTCCCCACTCCGTCAACAGATGTTGGTGTTTTGAAAATAGTTTCTTGGGAGAAAGATAAAGTCCTAGTTGGAATTCGATACGTACATCGAAAGTGTATGCTTTTTAATGTAAACAACTCTCAATATGTCTTGACATTGCTACATGTATAAGTTGATTGGTATTTCGTGGTACGCAACGTGTTCATACTTGTTGGTGTTTTATTTCTTCTATTGAATATTTAGTGATACAGTTCTCAGTCATCAGTTTAGTCTGAAACAGTCAAGTGTGCTCGTCAGTTTTCTTAAACTCAGTGACTATAACATCAGTGGTTATAATAATATCTGGACATAATTCTGACGATAATAACTTTTGATAATGTCCGATTCTGATGTTTTGTATGTTGTGGTGGAGTTTGACGAATTAGTCAATAAAAAAAAGTGCGTGGAGTTGTTGCCAATTTCTTGGTTATCAGATGATGATAGCAGGTGCTATTATCCTCCCAAGAAAGACTATGAAAAAGTGGATGAATGGACAAAAAATCTAGAGGATCCGAAAGAAAATTGGTCATCATATCCTATAAACATTATTGCAACAGCTAGTAAGTAAAAAAAATAACAACTATTACATTATTTAATTTGTTTTTCTTGTTTTCATTAAACGACATTTTCTGGAATTGATTCTTTGAATGATAATTATCATCATCATTTAAAAGTAATTAATTACTTTCGAAATTTATATATTTTTGGGATATTGTATATTCAGGTATTTTCTTCATAATTTTTTGTATTTTAGTAATTATTATTTCTGAATAACGATTTTTTATTACACTGATATTTGAACAAATTTAATTATCATTATAGAAGACTACGAGCAAGGATTACGACGATTGAAAAGATCTTTAAAAAAAAAAACAGTGAATAGTTCTGACAGTGAATCTCAACAATTAGCAAGTTCAGAACCTCTCCTGTTGGACTCTCAAAGTGTATCAAAATCATTACTCAAAACAAAACCACTGCCAAGAACTGAAAATAATGCGCTTGGAACAATTTTTGAAAATGACTCAGATTCCATCGCTGGTCCATCTAGTCGGCAGCAAATGACCTCTATTAATGAAGGTTAGTATGAAGTGTCTTTCTTTTTCTCAAACTGATTTTTCTGTGACGATATGCCATGTTTTTCCTAATCCAAATGATGTATTGCAGCTATTGATGATTTAAAAGTATTTTTCAAAAGAGAAATAAATAACGCAAAGCGAAGTATTTTATATGATTTGGAACACAAGATTAATACGATAAAAATTGAATTATCAAAACGTCCAGGTGAAATTGCACCATCAGAACCCTGGAGAATTATAGGTGAACTCTTGCCAGCTATGGAAATTAATAAATTCCTAGAATTAAATGAAATTTTAAGTACAGACAGCGAAAAACAAGATGCACTGGTACGTAAATCAAATATTCAACTGTATATTAATATTATTTAATTTGCTTTGTTGTATCACTTATATTTGTCGTTTTATTTACAGAAACAAATTTTTCAATTAGAAACCATTGGTTCCACGAATTATGCTGCAGATATCAATAAAATTCTAAAAAAATTAATTGGAAAAGAGGTTCAATTACTGTATAGCGGATGCGGTAGAATGGCAAATGGGGTTGGAGGTTGGAAAAAAAAATTTTTCTGCGACGGAATTTTTCAAAATCATGAATGGTAAAGTATGATAATAATTAATAATAAATA